CCCCTGCCCTACAGCCACAGACAAAAGCACATCTCCATCTCTATAAATCACTTTTCAGACATATGTGAGGACTGTTATCAAATCCCTCCTCAGTCTTCTCCGGACTAAATAACCCCAGCTTTTTCAGCCTTTCCTCATAACTTATACCTCCCAGCCCCTAATCATTTTTGTTGTTGCCTGCAGGACTCTTTCCAATCTGTCCACATCCTTCTTGAAGTGTGGGGTCCAAAACTGGACACAGTATTCCAGGTGAGGCCTCACCACTGCCAAACAGAGTGGAAGGATCACTTCCCTTGATTTTTAAGTGACGTTCCTGTTAATTCAACAAGGTATGGTGTTGCCTTTTTTTTTTTTTTGGCAAAAGGAGAACATTTTTGGCTCATATTCAGCTTATGGCCTACTGTAACCCCCCATTTCCTTCTTTGCACTACTACAGCCTAGCCATTCATTTCTAGTCTGTATTTGTGCATGCATTCCATCCTAGATGGAGGATTCTGCCCTTGTCATTGTTGACTTTCATTTGAAGTATTCTAGACCATTTCTCCAGTTTATCCAGGTTATTCTGAATCCTAGCCCTCCTCTCCAGAGTGCCTGAAACTCCCCATGCAAACACTTTTGGTAGCACCTGCAAATCCAGAACATCCAAAATATCTGCATGCAAATAAAACCGATCAGTAAATTAAGTGTGTGTGTTATGTGACAGACTGCAATCTCCTCTCATTCACCTGGAATAAGAAAGGGATGATCTGAATGAGACAGATCTCTGTGCCAGGCTGGACAGGTCTCTCTGAGGATAGAAACAGATGTTGCCTGATGTCGCATTCAAGCTGCCATAACATTTTTTATGGCAGCACGAATGCTGAGCAAATAGATATCTCTACCTTCTGTTGTGTCACATCAGTGGCACAATAGAAGGTACTAAATACATTGTGCTTCTTTACTATGGTTGATGTCTATTTGCTCTGTGGTGGGAGACTTCAGGCAGTCGGGAGCTGCCTGGACTCTCCTGCCATGCTGGGCAAGTGCTCTGAGGGTTTGAGGGACCTGATCCTGTATATATATGTATATGTATATATAAAAATTGCCTCTCAAGCCTCTGGAGCACTTGCTTGGCTTTCCCCAGGGGCGGATCTCTGTAAGCAGGGAAAGCCTGTGTGGGTCCTAGAATGGAGGCACGGGACACTGGGAAATCTACAGGACCTGCACCACACCACACCTGTGCCTCCAAATAAGGCACAAGTCAGCACAGGACCCAACCTTCGCAGAAGATAGTACGATAACTGCATTAGAGAGACCAACTGGCGGCTTCAGCAATGGTGTCTCGAGGCAGGCTTTGGCTTCCTGGACAATGACATGCACATCACGACGAGGGACACGCTCAGTTGGGATGGGCTTCACCTGTCCCCCAAAGGTAAGCGTGTTCTCTTCTAGGTTGGCGGATCTCCTCCGGCAGGCTTTAAACTAGGCTTGTTGGGGGGAGGGGAAGATGAGGGCGGGGGAAGCAGTGGACCACCAAACCATGTGGCACCCACAAGGACAGCCCAGCCTGAAGAAGGAGAACATAGGAAACCCCCAATCCATGGGGCAGCCAGCAATACAGCACAGGTAAGCAATAAGCAGGTAAGCAATAAGGGGCCCTTTGGGAATCGGAGCTGAGGGGCAACAAAGGCGCCAGTCACAGGGCTCAAGTGCCTATATACTAATGCTAGGAGCATGGGGAACAAGCAGGATGAACTAGCACTCCTGCTTGCAGAAAACACCTACAACTTAGTAAGGTTAACTGAAACCTGGTGGGATTCTTCCCATGACTGGGCGGTACATATTGAGGGTTATAGGCTGTACAGAAAGGACAGGGTGGGGAAAAAAGGGGGAGGGGTTGCGCTCTATGTCAATGAGCAATATACTTCGACCCTCATCAAGA